ACAGACAGCACCCACGGGGGAAGGGATCTTACAGACTTTGGTAAAGACAGCACCCACGGGGGAAGGGATCTTACAGACTTTGGTACAGACAGCACCCACGGGGGAAGGGATCTTACAGACTTTGGTAAAGACAGCACCCACGGGGGAAGGGATCTTACAGACTTTGGTACAGACAGCACCCACGGGGGAAGGGATCTTACAGACTTTGGTAAAGAGAGAACAGTAAAGGAAATATGAGCGAGCCATTTGTCGTAAATCACAAACTCCTGCACAATTCCTTGACCTTAGGAGGTTCCTGTGTACACAGATGTCCAGCAGTTATAGTTCTTCAGTCTAATAAGTAGGTCACACTTCTAGGAATAAACCTTCCCTTGAGCGCTCTGGCTTCTCTCGTCCCAGCCGTATGGCTCATTGCAGCTTTCATCATTCTTCCCCGCCCGCTAGTTGACTCTGACTCTCTCACGCCCCCACCCACACGCTTGTCTTCATTTCGGAGGCGGGCTGTGTGACGCGGCGACCCGCCCTGGCTTAGCGGGATACAGTATCCTTGTGGTCAGATTGAGATACTAGACACAAGAAACTTCTCCGGAAATTTGTCTTCGTAGTTCTTTGTTAGCAAACCCGGCAGCCCAATCGCTGCACCATAGGCGCCAATCCCCACTCACTCCAACATTTCCATTCTTGGAGACGACAGGAGTCCATAGATCTATACTCTAAGGCATCACTTTGTTTCGCTAAGGACAAGTTTCTGGTTTTCACGAATAGTTTCAAGTTTCGGAGACGGAATCTCCAGAATTGTTGGACCACTGGTTCCGTTCTCCATTGTTTGGTAGATTCTGGCTACTATTTTTTCCTATTATATATTTTCTTTTCTGACGTCAAAGGTGTTTGATCGAATCAAAATAGACAAGAAAGAGGGTGGCTGGAGGGTGCTTGGGTGTGGTTTTCTCCTTCTTTCCTATCAGATTCTAATACCTGTCGTCCTTATCTCTCCTTCTTCTCTTCTTAGTAATGTTCCTCTCTAGCACCAATGCCTCTATACTAAGGCACGTTTGACCTAATCATAGTGAAAGTACTCTAAACTTTGGCGAAACTAAACTTAACTAAAAGATGTTTGATCGAATCAAAACAGACATGTAAAACTTGCTCCTATTTTTCATTTCACAATTGTTCACAACTTAATTAATTTGTCTGAGTTGCGGAAATTGAATTGCCATGAGACGTGTAGAAGGACGGAGAGAAGGAGGTATAAGGAGGTTTAAGGATGTATGCAAACAACACAAGCAGTACGGCCATCTGGCACATCGCCACACGCAACACGTGACTACAAGCCCACTGGACATTGCTGGGAAGGTCAAGGTTACACTGAAGGTCACGAGGTCAACCAGAGGTCACAACAGAGGGTATTGTTATAAGGACGGTTGGGGGGGGGGGCGGCGATAG